ACGCCACGCCATTGTGGTACGAGCGTGGGTGAAACTCCTGTTGAGGAACTTGAGGACCGCTGGAAAGAATTGATTCGTCGCAGAACAAACCTTCGTAGACGCTGCACTCGGATTAGTAACCGCTTGCGAACACTGATTGCTTGCTCGTCGCCGTCTCGCCGATATTTGCAGCCTGATGTCCGTGAATTGGAATCTGTACGGTCAGAGATGAATTTGGTTTTAGAAATTATGCGCAGTATGTTGGGATCCCAAGAGAGTGAACAACTGCTGAATGAGTTGGACGAGTGGGAGGCGAAGTTTGATAAGGAGAGTGGTGTGACGGCTGCTGCTGAGGCGATTTTGGATTCGCCTGTTGAGTCTGTTTCTGGCCAAGTGGCATCAGGCCAACAATCAGCAGTCCCAGAACAGGTTACCCCTGTGCCACCATTTACACCACCGCACATGCGGCCTTTGCCACCGATCCCAGCACCACACACACGGAGTCTGAGCAGCAGAGCAACGTCAGTTGGCTATAGTGATCCAATGAGTAGACTTTCTGAGTGGTCTCCTCATCCGGAACCTGCTGTGGAGCCTCATGTGCATGATTAGCTTGTCAGTATGCAACGCCCGCATGGGGTCAGTCCTTTACACCACTTGAAGCCGCTGGAGCTGCCCAAGTTTAGCAGAAACGCGCAACAGTTTGTGCGGTGGAGTCAATCGTTCAGGCGGCTTTTGGATGAGGATCGCTACGTATCCGACGATTATAAGCTGGCTAGGCTAAAGGAGGCGCTCCAGGGAAGCTCGGCTGAGGACATTGTGGCCCAGATGTTTGACGAGCTAGGCGCATACGCTGCTGCTTGGGCAGAACTTGACCAGTGGTATGAGAGAGAAGACCACCACCTGGCACTACAGGAGAAGGCAATCCTGAACCATCCCAGAATCGCAGACCGTGATTCAGAAGCCCTGCGGAAATTTGTTGTCAAGCTCAGAAATGTGCTCATGAACCTGGACTTGGCTGGAGAGACCCCTGGTAGGGAGCTATTCCTAAACGCGCTGGAGAAGCTACTCAGAAGTGTAGTTATACGATTTTACGAACCACATCCAGACAGCAAATGCAACGCAACCACATTGTCGTTCTGGCTGGTAAAACGGGTCCAGAACGCTAGCCGATGACATCTTGGCGACAGTCGCCACAGAGACGTTGAACAAGACACCTCCTGCGGTCCCGCCAGAGCCTAGGTCATCTGCTGTGTATGCTGTGGAGCTCAGTACTCAGCAATGCGACAAGTTCAGCAAGAGCCATGCCACAGCAGAGTGCCCGGAATTCAGGGCGCTGACAACCAAGCGCCGCTGGGACCTGGTCAAGCATGCCAAGCTGTGTAGCTGTTGTTTGGAGCATGGACACTGGGCTCGTGAGTGCCAGAAGCTGGACCGTTCCCACTGTGGAGAGAGGCACCACTTACTTCGGCACTACAGCAAGTCAGTGCAGCCACAACAAACTGCAGCGCAGAATCCCGCTACGATGCGGCCAGCAGCTCCGGCACCTCGGCAGGAACGTTCTCACCATGCTAGTGTCAGCGTGCCGCAGACTACTGCTTTCGCTACCGTGCCAGTGAAGATTATTGGGCCAACTGGCAAGTCGGCAATCTGTACGGCCATGCTGGACTCGGGCTCGACTGCAAGCTTCATACGGGAGGATGTAGCCCATGAGTTGGACATGGCAGGTGAAGTTCACATGTGGAACACATCCACGATTGGTGAACAGCAGACCTCCAGCTATCGGGAACTGGTCAAGGTGCAGATGGAATCCATTGATGGAACAGTGTCATACCCGCTCAAGGCATGCGTATATGACCGTGTGACCAAGAAGACGCAGGTCGTCGACTGGAGCCGGTACAAGTCCAGCTATGAGCATCTGAAGATCATAAACTTTCCCGAAATCTCCAGCACCATGGTCGACCTCCTGATCAGTCTAGACGTCATTGATGCCCACGCATCACTCGCGGAGTACAGAAGCAGCAGCGGTGGACCAATTGCCCGCAAGACGCCACTGGGATGGGTGTGTATGGCCCAACGCCCAGTGCACCCAGTGATGACGAGTTGTCCGTCAACTATGCGCATGCTTTATACGGCGAATGCAGCATAGACAGCCTGGTCCAGAATTTCTGGAATCTGGAGGCAGTCGGTATGAAGCACGAAGGCACCTACATCACCTCTGCAGAGAAGCTGGCTGAGGAGATCGTTGAGAAATCCATCAGCTTCCATGATCAGCGAGTCACCATGGCAGTCCCATGGACCCACAGCAACGGCAAGCCTGGTGTCACCGCTAATCGCGCCATGGCAGACCATCGCCTGTGAATGCTAGGGAAATCGCTGGACAAGCGTCCAGAGCTGAAGGCAGCATACGGCAAAGTCATATGTAGCCACATTGACAAAGGCTATGTGCGCGCAGTGTCGGCAGCAGAGGTTGAGGCAGATGGCGACGACCAGTGGTTCCTGCTGCATTTCGCCATTGTACGAGATGACAAGGCCACCACGAAGGTACGTGTCGTCTTTGAAGCTGCTGCCAAGTATGACGGCATGTCAATCAATGAGTGCATGTACGCTGGACCCGCTCTGCAGAATGACCTAGTGAAAGTGCTTCTGCGGTTCCGCAAGGAGCCAGTAGTGCTCACGGCGGACATTACCGAGATGTTCCTGCAAGTCATGCTGGCTGAGCAAGACCGCCGATATCATCGCTTTGTGTGGGACTCACGCGTATACGAGTTCGGGAGATTGGTGTTCGGCATCAAAGCGTCTCCGTACCTGGCATGCAAGACGCTACAAGTGGTGTGCCTCGAAAGAGCCGACAAGTAGGACCCAGCTATGTTGCAGATCATTGACCGAGACATGTATGTGGATGATCTGCTGCACTCTGCTGTCTCCGTACCGGAAGCCATCCGCACACAGCAGACAGTACAGGACATCCTTGAGCAGGGCAGCTTCCACCTCCGCAAGTGGCTCAGCAATAGCTCGGAGGTGATGGGCGGCGTACTGGAAGCTGACCGGTTACCGCAGCTCATAGCTAGCATCAATGATCATGATCACTATGTGCTACCATCAGTCAAGATGCTAGGCGTGATGTGGTCGGCAGAGGATGATACCTGCGCCTTTGAGTTCAAGCCGCCTGCAACAGAGAAGCTGACCAAGCGAGCCATGCTGAGTAAGATGGCATCTATATTCGACCCACGCGGACAACTAGCTCCCTTCACGATTCGCTCTCGTGTCAAGTTCCAGGAGCTGTACATCCTCGGCGTGGGCTGGGATGATCCACTGGACGCTGAGCACACGCGGATATGGACATCCTCTTTTTATCGAGCTGGGAGATCTGGCGCTGATTCGTGCGCCGCGCTGCTTCAAGTGTCCGGGTCGCGAGTCGTCTTTCGCTACATTGTCGCTGCACGTGTTCACGGATGCTTCAGATGCCGCCTACACCGCTAACGTGTACGTCCATGCTGAGTACCCAGATGGCAATGTGCGAGTGACGCTAGCACTCGCCAAGGCGCGTCCATGTCCCATTAAGAAGATGTCGATCCCGAAGCTGGAGCTGAAGGGTGCTATGCTTGGTGTTTGCCTGGCCCAGACAGTGAATGACGAGCTAGATCTGCCGAAGGCTGATGCCACCTACTGGTCCGACTCGATGAACGTGCTTCACTGGGTGAGAGGATTTAGCTGGCAACCAGTGGAATCACGTTCCTGGAAAGCTGAACCCAGCCGACAAGGGCACCAGAGGCTTGACAGCAGACCAGCTAGCCAGTGATTCAGTATGGTGGAGCGGCCCCCAGTTCCTCGTCCCACAGCACAATGAGTGGCCGTCTCGTCAGATAACCGTGCCAAAAGAGTTGCCCGGAATGGTAAAGCGAGCGCAAGTGATGGCGTTCGCTGTGCAGCAAGTGTCAGCGGAGGTGTTTCGTCTCCACCCCGACAACTACTCGTCATGGAAACGACTAGTAAGATTGATGGCCT